ATGAGAGCTCAAGCAACACTTGAATAACTGCAAGACTATTTCAAAATTCAAGTGAAATTTGCACACTTGGTATTACTTTGCAAATATGATTTATGATTTTTTTTTTTAATCACAGGAGAATAAGTGGCAGAAATAATACGATATTTACAGTGAATCTGCCATTACCCCTCACTTAGTATGCATCTGGTAAACCACGTAAGTTCGGGGGAAATCATTGTATCAACAGGAAATGGAGAGAAGACAAAAATCTGCCACTTCAGCCATCCTAGGCAAACTCACTTCCAGCAACAAGTTGACATTCCTCTTGAAGTACTTCAGATCACAGTCATGTTGTCAGCAGTCCTCGAGGTCTTGGGACGTAGGACAAAAACCTCTAAAGGCAACTGAAGGCAGTAAATGTTGTTGCTAAGATCATGTTCTTTAAATATATTCAAGAAGGTACTTCAGTGTGCACATACCCTGAGAGCTTACTGAATCAGTGCCACTCTTGCAGCTAGCGGGATGAAAACATAATACTTCTGACCGTAACAGCCTTTCCTAAAAAATGTTATGTAAGAAATGTTAGTATAAACTGCTGTAAAAACAGAAATCCTTGAAGGCATGCAATTACTTCATACAAATACATGTAAACACCAAAGAGAACTCTCCTGGCAGTGGTTTGCTTTAGTGTGTGGCTCCACACGGATTGACAGAGGTCTGACAGCCCATGTTATAACCTGTCACCTGAACCTTGAACAGTGTCCCATCCGCACACATACAGAGCTTGAAACGCAGCCAGTTGCCATTATTGAACTGTTCCCCATAGGAAGAACTTGGCAGTCGTGATGGGCTGACCATCACAGTTCCGTTCAGGATAATGCTGTTTTCCTATTAAGGAGGAGAGAAAAAAAAAGTACAATTTCTAATTTAAACAAGGCAGGTTACTTTTGAGAAGGAAAAGCTGGTTTAACAAATAAATGACATCTTTAGGACAGCTGCAGAACCAACACAGTAAAATAGGTATGTATGAAAAGGTTTAATTTTTTAATGGAAATTATAATAATGCTCATGGATGTCTCAACTATGCAAAGCAACTGTGCTTTTCTCACATATTTCTCAACTATGCAAAGCAATGTACTTTGCTGTTCCAGTGGTAGGTCATTACTGAGACAGCAGAAGTGTGGCTTTTCACTTTACAGACCTCTTAGCAAATGCAGTAAATCTAAAAATATGGATGTGAAATGGTAATCAGTGTTTGAATTCACGTAGGAAATTCGTTCACACTTGAAATGCAAGTGCATATACCTCTGTTTTTTATCCTCCTTTAACCTTTTTCATCATTCCATATGCCCTGTAGTCTCCAAAAATCTTAAAGGAATGCTAATGAGTCTTACTGTGGCAGCACAGAAGGTAGTGCTTCTAACTGGCAAAGGTTACTGACCACTGAAAAGCTTCCAGAAGAGAAAATTAATTCCCTTTGGTATTTTTTCCAGGGCAGAGGCCAATAGCTTGGCCTTAATTATATTATGGGGTTTTTGTGTCTTAACAGTAGAAAATCACTGTTACCTGAAAACTACTGAACGACTACTTCATCATGGCTAGGCTTTCAACAAAGACTTGGGAAGGGCTCTACCCACAAAGCTACATCAGTTCACTATCAGCCTGAATTTGAAACTAAACTATTCAAAAAATGCTGATTTGAAATACTTACTGCTTTAAGTTCCATGTTACCTCCCATTCGAAACTCAATGGTCTTGCCTGTAATGAAAACACCTTCATTTCCACGGACAATAGCACGGCCATCGACCTTTATGTTTAGATCACTGGTTGCATTGCTGGTAATCTAAGAATATAACACACAAAAAAAGTGTATTACAGATCAATGAAAATGTGTCACTTCTATTTGTCTGAGTAGCTTAATTACCTTAAAAGTATTGCTACACAATTTAATAAAAAATGTCAATGTACTTCTTCCCTTCTGCCATTATGCCTGCAAACCTTCTGCCTATTTATTATTTTCCACATTCACATTTAAAACGAGAATTACTTAATTTTGTAAGGCATGTAAAATAGTTTATTTTTGTGGTAAAAATAACAATTCATATGACAATTTCATAGCATACATGGCTAACACTTGTAGCAAATACATGCTTCCTTTTAGGACTGATTATGTAAACTTACCCCTCTGATTTCACTTAATATGTTACTTCTATGTATTTATAGGTTTGGGGTTTTTTTTTCTGGGACAGGGCTGCTCAATGCTTCCTAAGGCACACTTAACCCTCTATAAAATAACTAGTGCTACTCTCCTGTTATACAAACAAAGTATGCACTGTATTCTCATTAATTATAAAAAGCAAGAGAGACATACCCTCTCTGTAGAGGCCTTTTGTACATTCAAGATTTTAACTCCATTTGGCAGATGAAACTCATGAGTTTCATAGTCTGTGCTGAACAAGGTATTTTGTGTCCGTGGGTCAACAAATTCCATGCCAATATCACTGGTTATAGAAGTTTTGTCTTTTTCCACACTAAGCTTGGTTGTTCCTTGCTGAAATACAATCTTCAGAAAAAAAGTCATTAGGTTAATAAAGTTTCAAATATAACATTTATTAGTGAGGTAAGTGTAATTCCCTAGTGTTGCTCACAGACTTTCAATTCATGGTAAAACTTACAGGCTGATTATTCCCAGTGATCACCAAGTCTTCATTCCGTCTCCCTCCTACAGTGCTTTTATATAAGGGATGTATAACACCCATGTCAGACACTTGCTTAAACCGCAACAAGCCACTCTCATGGAATTCCATACTGTCACAACCATTGGGACCGATTCGAATTACTGCCCAGATAACCAGGGTAATCTGAAAGAGAAACAGATTTTAAAAGATTAAGTTGATTGTTTGTATCTTTCTACAAGAAGTACGGTATTAACTATATGTTTCATTTGAAACAATTATTAATGCTAGTGTTGAAGTGAGCTTTAGGTGTGAATTTACTTTAGTCTGTTTAATTCCATCATAACACATTTAATTATGAAATGCATTTTACATTAATTTTAGACTTATCTGGAACAGTAACTAAAATGATTTTTATATATATATATATATGAAAATATTAAATCCAGAATTATATATTTTTTCTGTTTAAGGGTAATCATGGTAGTATTGGCTAAGCAAGTTTCCTGAACAGCTCAGCTCAGTACATACTTAACCCTGACCTAGAAAAATGCACCCTCCCAGGTGGTCATCCAGTTACAAAAAACAATTCATTACTTCTCCTTGACCAAGCAATAAAGAGGTGGTAATTACAACAATGAAGCTTTAGATTGCAGTGCCTGGTTAATTCTGAATGCTCACGTGCAGAATGCTCAGCTCTGTTATGTAAAATGTTCCTGACATATATCCTGAATGCATTTGTACTAATAATACTTTGCATGGAGTGACACTTGGAAGGTTTCTAATTCTTTCCTGCATAAACAGTAAGTTCCTTGCTGAGATCTTGGTAACTGAATTTACATGGCTGAATTTACAAGATTCTTCCATCTAATCTTGTTCAGGCTACAAAAGAACAAGAAAGGAATGAGAAAAATGAGAATCTCCTTCAGTACATTTTAAGCCCTCAGCCATACTAGAAAAGGTTTATTTCTCTAATAAACCATCACAATGAAATATGACCTAATGTTGCTTACAGTGTAAGTATTATACTCACAATCAGATTGATGACGGCCAAAATAAAAAGAACAACAATCACACATATGGCCAAGTTGCCTTTCCTGCCACGTAACCCTGTCTTATGGAGACGGTCTTCATCAATTGGAATGTATCCTGCTTTGAAGTTACTGTTGTGCTCCTTATTAACATTCCTGCGTTCCACAGCCTTCTCTCGCATAGACTTCTTCACCGGGCCATTAGAACTTTGCTGTAACACAAAGCATGGATTAGTTTTAAAAGGCATGTCAATTCACCAAAATGACACACGTATATGTATGCCAAAAATATAAATCTGAATTGACTAGTGTAACATAGTACATGTTACATTCAATATTAGATTTCAGTCTGCCACTCTGTACTTAGCATACGTGCTTAGAGCCACAGCAATCTCTGCTAACACAATGACTAAGTTTAAAATCCAGGTATTTTCAGACAATATATGGGTTTAGATCTCATTTTTATTATGGCAGATAGAAATTATTAATGACACTGCTGCAGCAAAAAAACCCAAAGCAGTTGTAAAAGAGCTTCATCAAGTTTTTACCTCTCACGGAAGATAGAGGAGATAATCCTGCAGGTCATTCGCCAATATACAGGATTTTAGCTCACATATGACAGACTCTCAATTAGTCTATTCAAAAGGTGTGTGGTGAATACAGTTTTTAAGTTAGTTTGATAGTGTGATAAACAAAGTCTCGAGTTTCTATAAGTTTTTGAATAATAGTTTATTATATGGTAAAAGCAAGCAGCCATCTGGGTGACAGAAATGGGACCAGTTTCCCAAATCTGCACACCCCTACTACAGGGTACATTTAGTATTTATCTTAGCTACTTCATGCATATTAATTATATCATATACATATACATTCTACAGGTTTTTGCTAAGTATTTAATATATGGGTTTT